TGTGATCTGCTTTAACCCACTCAAATGGGAGAAGGCTAGATAGGCAACCCGCCTACCGCAGCTAATTTTTATCACATCGGTAAGCGTAAAGCGACTGGAGGACCCAAGGGAGGGGAGCCAGGGTGGAGTGTCTCAGATCAGCTCATCTGCTGTTGCACTGCAACCTGATCTGAGTGCTGCTCTGAGACGGCTCTTCCAGGGCATCCCACCTGGGTGGAGACAGGGTTCCAGGTCTCCTCTGCTCCATAGCCACAACGTCAGATAAATCTCTTTCACGTGCATGTACTTCTCCAGGGATGCTAGCCTCCCAGCTGAGGACTCCCGCTGGGGACTGGTGTGTGAGTGCCAGCCCTGACAGGCAAGGAATGCTTCACAGACCTGCTGACAGCCCAGAAGCTATGGGACCCAGTGGGTCACAACCATACATCAGCAGCTACCCAGGGTGCTCTTGGCTTTAAGTGTTGCTTAGGGAGTTGGTTACAAGGAAGCCAAGTAGCATTTGATGAGTAAATCAAGTCACAGTGAGAGGCTGGTACCCCTGGGCCACAGAAGAAGATCCACAGCAGGGCCAGGCTCTCTGGTAGCTGTGCAGCTGACCCATTATTAGATCGTGTTTGTCTCTTCCACCTAAAATAGGCACTAAAGTGTCGGGAGCGGCAAGTCCCGTCCTATGTCACAAGGCTAGATAATTTTATTTTTTTTCCCCTCCCCTTCCCCCACATGGGTGGTGTGAGTCACCATTCCTCTCTGTCCCTGATCCTCCCTCCTTGCCTTCTGCTTCCAGCCAGAGTCCCTCCGCCTATGAAGTGCCCAGCCACTGCCTCCTCGCCTCCTCTGCTGTCCCACAAGAAGCCTGTGGCTGTTGTTGAGAGTCCCCCAGCTCCACAGGTACCTAATTTCTTGATTCAAAGCCAGCCTGAGGCAGTGGTGCTCCCCACGCTCTGGGTGAAGAGATGGGAGGGAGCCCATCGCAGCGGACAGGGGGCTACCTGTGTATTTTGGTGTGGGAGAGGTGTTTGGGATTTTGGTTCCTTGGGGGACCCAGCTAAGAGAGTGATTTCTCTTTAGGAGTCTGTGGGCTGAAATTTGTCCATGGCAGGCAAGAGGCTGGGTGGATTGGTGCTGGATGGTTTCTTGAGCCACGCAGGGCACGAGCACCCTCTTTCCTATGGGAGGATAACCCTGTAGATGAGGAAAGAGGAGGAACGTGGGATTAGAAGAGTGGAAAAGATGCCTTTTTCTTCTTGGCTCTCTATTTCAGGTTTTAGAGATGTCTGGGATGGCACATTTTCTGAAGAGAGGGGTTTCCTCTTGCAGGTCCCTGCTGCCTTTGTTTAGATTAGTCCCTTCCACAGCCCTTCAGCCCTAGATAGGGGCAAGGCACCTTTTGGAGTGGCCTCTTCTAATTTGGGAAGAGGCAGCCTGCCTGTGCCTGGACTCGGGGGCAGCTGTTCTGTGTGGTGTCAGCCCCTGAGCTCAGCCCCTGAGCTGTTCCACAAGCACTCAGCAAGGGGCCTTGCGCAGGGAGCAGCTGCTCTGGAGGAGCTGTGGGCTGGGGGGCAGCTCATGGCCACCACCCTGACCTCCCCCTGCGTTGTGTTTCAGGATGATGCCTCCTCGGACTCTTTGGAGCGGTCCCAACGCACCACACTCAGCAGTACCTGCACAGCCTGCCAGCAGCACGTCCACCTGGTCCAGCGCTACCTGGCCGAGGGCAAGCTCTACCACCGCCAGTGCTTTAGGTATGTCATGGCCAGGCCTGGTGGGGCGGCCGCTCTCCTTGGCAAACTGGAGGTCTGTGGCCAGCTGCACCCCATCTTTGTGTGTGTCCATGTCCTTGGGCAGCAAGGGGCATCAACAGCAGTGCCTGAAATGATACTGAAGAAGGCCCATTTGCCTGATAGCCCCCTGTGCCAGAGGTCTGACTAGCCCCTTGTGTCCACCCCTGTGCCGTTTGTCTCCCCTACTCCCTGTCTCCCCCGCTCTCTCCTGCTTCACTGACTTGGGATCCGAACCCCTTGTGCTTCTCCCACTTCTGTAAACCAGGATGCTCTGCCTCTTTGCCGCCTGCCTACCCAGAACCCCCAACACCACCTTCCCATGAGGTCTAAGCCAGGACATCATCCTACAGACCTCCTTCCACCTACACTCCATGTCCTCAACTGATTATACAGGCTCCCACGCTGCCTGGGATGGTGCTGAGCTCTTAGGGGAGCATGTGGAGAACTGCAGACTGTTACCAAACTGAGGAAAGAGGGATTAGAAATCAGCAGCTCTGTGGTTAATCCCTGGGTGCAGGTTCTTACCTGCAGCACCTGTGAAGTCATTTCACTTTGCTTTCCCTGCTCTGATCATGAAGGGATGAGATCTCTCTTGTGGGCCACAGGACAAGAGCTGGCAAGTGGGCAGCTGGCATCTGAGGACAGAAATACTGAGCCCCTGGGAATATATGGGAGGCCTCATTTACCTGTATAAGCAGTTCCTGCCTAAGCCAGCTGGGGATGTGTCATAGAAACATCGTCGCAGGAGGGGAGCTGGGCTGGGGCCCATCAAGCTCCCCATCTGCAGCTGGGGCAAAAGCAGGAGCTTTGGGGTGCTGGTGCAGCATTGCTCATGGGCCAGGAATAGGAGAGGTGCCAGGAATAGGAGAGGTGCTGTGTCTGCCTTGGCAGCTCATGGCCCTTCAGAGCGAGCAGTGAGATCCCTGGAATTTTATCCTGAGTGTTTTGCTTCCTTATGCTTTTCTTGTCTTTTTTTTTTTTTTTTTTTTTTTTTTTTTCCCTTGCTGATTCATGGGCGCTGTTTGGTCAGGAACATCCCGTGGCAGCGTTTTCTGTGGCTTGATGGAGATAAAACCAAAACAAACTTCCTTCTCCCCTTGTCCAAACTTGCCACCTTTTCATTTCATCATACCCTTTCTCTCTGGAGCCCCTTTGTCCTCACGCTTCTGCTCTACATTTCAAAGGAAATCCCAGTCAGCTGGACACCCAGAGCAGAATTTCTCACCAAAGTCATCTGCTTGCAGCCAGCTGCTGCAAGTGCCAGGTATTCAGACAAGAAGGAACAAGCTTGGTTTTCATGGGAGTGCTTGATCAGCCCCTTGCCCCTGGCTCTCTTTCATGTATGCTATCCACCTCCCTTCCCAGGTGGAAAAGGGCTGACTTGGTTGCCAGTGCTGTGTATTACGCTTGCGCCTGGAGGGCTTCATTAGGGAGGATTCAAAGGCTCAGTGGGGAAAGA